CAAAAAAAACCCCGAAAAAAAAGTTTCACATGTATATATAGAAAAAATATAAAAAAAAAACCCCCACCATTTCCTACTTGATCCTCAGTTCGTATACAATGTCAAGACTCCCACTAGGTCTCTTTCCTAACAATTTTTGGGGGGGGGTTCCTAATAGAGACACTTGCCCAACTGGGAAGCCTCGAGAAACGAGGGCTCAGCTAAGCCCTACTGACGCAACAACTGCCGACGAGATCGGTACTCGCCATGTACGGAGTACGTACTACTACTCGAAGAACCCATGCATGATCACGCTAGTGATTGATCGACAAAAACAGGCGAGACGTACAAAATTTAAAATAGATAAACTCGAAGATCCATTCCCATGGATCGTGCACCATTGGTTCAAGGCAGATGTGGCGAAATTTTTTCCCACTTGATCAGCACCAGACGAGTCAGAGACTCAAGCGTATCTCTGGAGGATTCGGTACGAATCCATTTCTCATCTGAACCAAGGGATAGAATGCCGCTGCCGGTGACGACGCATTGACAACAGAGTACTAGTATTGGGTACCTAGTCCTACTTATATCGGCCAAGGGCACCTCGGGTTGGGCCGAGCCAATCAGCATCGGGAACGCCTGTGATATCTCAACCCTCTTGATCCCATTACAACCGGATCAACAACCTTAGACCCAAAATTCCACATTAGTGTCATTGTGCTATGTGCTCACCGCATGTATGTAACTCTCCCCAAAAGCATCCAACCAATTTGTGAAAGCCCGGCATTATCAAGAGTGGAAAAGAAAAGGAAACAAGCTATCTACTGCGAAACAGAACCGTTGGCGGTCAAGAAAATCCATCACGTTCATAGAAGAGACCAAGACCCCCTTCCAAAGAGAAAGAAGAACCATTGGAGAAGGGACACCACGAAGAAAAAGGCGCGGACACTTATAGTATGCGAAGAATAGGATAAATGATTAGGTTTAGCGAATTACGGAACGGCCTTCAGTAGATAGGCCTGCCTTCGTCCCATCGACGAGGCTGTGCGGAGTCCGGCGGATGGGCGTGGTTATCTATCGGCTGACGGCTTTGGTCGTGAGATGAGCCCGACAAATGCAGGTTGCCACTGTCGTGCGGCCGGGTCGCAGATCCTTCAATGTCTCCACGAACACTGCCGATGCCCCCAATCCATTCCCATACGCGAGCAACATCACCACCACGACCCTCTCGCACGGCTGCTCGAATGTTGGCATTCCCTTCAACAACGCTGCGAACCCGTCGCCATAGCTCTTCACGCCGGCTGCCACGCAATTCAGATCGAAGGACGTCGTCGCGCAGTTGTCCAATTGGAATATAAGGTTCACGGGCCTCGCCACGAGCATGCAAAGCGGCTTGGGTCGCAAGGCGATCGAGCGTGGTAGCTACTAGTTCGGGGACCCGTGCCATATCAGACCGGCGAGCAAGGACTCTTGAGCGTGCATATAGCACGGCAAATGTACAGATGGCTAGAACTGAAAGAGGGAGTCGATACGCGAGGAGAGAGAGTCGGACGTAGCGGCGGAAGGCGCACGTAAGGGAGAGCCGACTGACTGATGTTGAGGTGAGGGTGACGACAGAAGATGGTCTGTAATAGTAGTGTCGCCTCTGTTAGTTCCGTATACACGTCAGAACCGTAATCCTCTGGCGCAAGCCGGGAAACCCGCCTGTTGTGGCCACAATACATCAAAATGAAAGGAGCAACTTACGTCTTCGTTTGGCTAATAACTTCTTCCCTGCCAAGGATTTCACCCAACGCCCCCTTCCATAGATCATCAAACTCGGCATCGCTCATTCCTTTCCGACGTTTTCTTGCTACCTCCTGCTTCAAATCTGGTTCACTGATCTCTGGCCCTTGTACTCCTTGGCCGTCATCTGCGAGTTCCCCACATTCCCATTTGGCTCTTCTGTCACGCAGCTCCTCCACAGCTTTATCAGCAACAGCTTTGACGCGCCGCGCTTTCTCACTGTCAGGCTCACAAGTCGGAGGCAGGGGAACCAAGCCTCCCAGAGACAAAGGATGCGCCTTCAGGATGAAATCATGCTCGCAGAGTGCTTCAAAGTCGGGGTAGCAGAACGCATGGGCAGGACAGGGTTCACACTGTGGTTCCAAGACGTTTGCCCACTCAGGAATCCGAGTCTCCGCCAATGACCAAGTGGGCTTTCCAATACCGCAAAATCCAATCTCGATCTTCTCTTTCCGCCACCAAGCACCAAATCCAGCTACCAGCAGTATAATAATAATCCAAGGAGCTGCGCGACTCGTTGAGCCTTGTTGTTGTCGGTCTGGGGCAGGGGGGTACCACAAGTCCGCCTGCTCCCTTTCTAATGCAAGTTGTTCCTCCGGTGTGAATTCTTCGCCAGCACTGAGCTCACTCTCGTCGTCCTCATCCGCCACAGATTCAAGTTGCTTATGGGGTGATTTCAACTTCGAGATAGGGAATTGGAAGGAAGATCGCCTGGATACAGTAGCATCGTCTTCTTGTTTAATGAACACGTCAGACTTTCTAGCCCGCAGACCCTGATCCCAAGAAGGGCTCTCGGCTGGGAGTAGCGATCCACTCTTTCGCTTTTTCTCGGACCACGGGGCAGGGGAACTTCCGCTCTGGAATGGGTTATCATAGGTGAAAACGCTCTCTTCCTTGGGCTCTTCTTTGATTAGCCGTGCCATGGGCTCTGGCTCAGTCGATGGCGTCATCTCGCTTCTCCGAAGTTTTCTAGTAGTCGATTTTCGGGGAGTAGCGGTGTCTGCTGCGATTGGTGTAGCAGGGGTGTCATGATGATATTGATGTTCAGATGCACGAAGGCGCTTCGACTCTGATCTCGGCGCTGTCCGTCTAGAAATTGTGGACGGTGTGGCAGGAGCGGTTCTATCATCAATATCGGCGGTCGAGGCGCGGGTACTCATCCTCGATCGTCCTCGCCTCCCCCCAGTTACCGTTGAGACCGTCGAAGGGGTTGGTGGGGGTGGCATCGAATCTCTGCTTTCATCTTCTTGTCGATCATTGAAATCACTAACTACTGATGTTGCGCGACTTCCCATATCGGTAATCCCATCACTCGTTCGCCTCACTCGCTCGCGATCCCGTAGTAATCTCCTCGCCTGAGGTAGAACCTCATCCTCCAGAATTCGTACAAGCTGCGCCTTCTTCGCAGAGGCCGGGTATGGAATATCATGGCTGACTAGAATGGACCGTAGACGAGGTACTGTCAGAGAATTGAGGTCGAAATCAGGGGCGAGATAGTCCAGGTCATCCGCCATGGTGGAAATTGGTTGATACGACGATCACCACAGCAAAGCTTGACTGATAATAAACTATGCACAGATAATAAATTTCATCTAAAATCTTCAAATGGACGTTAGATGTTTGCAATTCGTCAAGTGACAGATGGGCATACGTTGAAATTTATGGTAGCCAGGGCAACAGAGCGGGGCCGAACGCGAAATGGCCGCTTAAGTAGTGGTAGGGAACAAAGACGATTGTATCAAGAGAACGAAAAGTCGAATAGGGCTTGGCGTGCCTCGGAGTCAAAGAAAGGTATTGGGGTTTCTTACACAACTCCCAGAAGAATGGAATAGGAGTCGGCGATAATGAACCGCGGTTGACGAAAAAGACTCAATCAACCCAATGAGAACAACAAACAGCATGCAAACCCACCCGTGACTGATTAATGCCTGAGGCAACAGCATTACCTCAACGTGCATCAACATCCTTCTTAACGATATTAATTACTATCAAGTCGACATACACTACAGCAAAACTATATATATATATATCCTATGTATGATGTCAGAATTCCCAATAATATGAGTGAGATTATATGAGATCTACATTATTTGTGTGGTACATCGAGGCTCTCAAGCAATACTAATGAAGCCGCTATAGAATTACTCGCACAGCAGTGGCATAGAGATACGTAACGTTAACAAATATAGCCTTAGCTCAGCCAAGGTGCAATGCAACTGAAGGTGAAGCCAGTTCATTCATCATATCTGTACTAGCATATCGACTGAGATTGAAAGTGGAACAAAGGACAGGAAAAGCAATATCCACCTTAGCTCCTGTCCATGCTTCTGAACGCTGAACATCCAACCAACCCATGAGACGCCGCTGAGTACTAGATCAAAAGGAGGGAAAGACAAAAAGGTAAGATTAGATACTGTAGATAAGATGTGTGAGATGCGAGTACGTAGACTATTAGTTGTTCACGTCATCAGCTGGGATGCTCATGTGAAGAAAAGACGACGAGGCAGAACTGTTGCTGCCTTTAAGAGATGCCAAATCCGTCGCTGTGTAACTCGGACTCCTGTCAGTGATGCCAGCAGCACTGACAGCAATTTGCTCTTTGAGGGCCTTGTATTCGGCAAGCTGGGTTTGTAGCTCCTGTAGCACGTCTCTGATAGGCATGGCATGATCATTGAGTCGGTCGTGCGGTCTGAAGGGCCGTAACATGTTCCGAATTGCAAGAGTATTAACCGTCATTTCGATGCGAGTCACTTGTTGTTCAACTAAGCTGACCACGGTCGAGTCAGCAAGCTCTCCTCCATGATTCTTAACGACATTGAAGAGCGACACGTTGGGCTCCTTTAGTCGAGCGTCGCCCGGGTACTCCAAAGCGCCACAGAGCCTCTCTAAGCGAAGGGTAATCTCCCAGAGGCGCCAGATAAGATCGGTTTGGATTTCTAGCTGGGAGTGTTTGCTAATGGTTGTTGGGACATTCTTGTCACTTGCGGCATCTTTCTGCATAATACTTAATCGCCCCGATAGGGTGTGAGGGTAGATAAGATAAAGCGGCTCGGGGTTCTCAAGGCCTTTCAGCTTCCGTTCTCCCTGGTCTTTGATCACGAAGCCAAGGCTGTTTAGCTGTTGCAGCTCGCGACGGATGTTATAACCAAGGTTATCCACGGCATAGCCCTCTTCCGAACCAGTTGACGCAGCACGCTCGCTATCTGCAAACACCTCCAGATTGCGTTGGATATCGCTCATGAAATCCGATGACACGAAGATCTGTCCACCATCGGCAACAGCGGAGATACGAGAGGCGCGGTTCACCATCGGCCCAAAGTAGTCCATGCGGTTAGTAACGGGGTCCTTTTCACAGACGGGCTCGCCCCAATGTATACCCATACGGACAGAAAGCCCACGGAAAATAACATTATTGTCCATATCGTACTCGACCTCACACTGAGGTTGTTCGAGAATTTCCGTCGGCCATTCTGCTTCCAGAAGCTGCATTTGACAGTTGAAGCACCAGAGCAAGGCAGCCGTAGTTGTGGAAAAGGCAACCATAAAAGCATCTCCTTCGGTCTTGACTTCGTACCCACCAATGATTCCAAGCTGTCGACGAAGTATGTCATTATGTATTTGTATGGCAGAGCGCATTGCATCAGGGCAGGTCTCCCAAAGGCTCGTTGACCCTTTGATATCCGTAAAGATAATAGCCAATTCCCCTACAGGGGCATCCACGAAATCAAAGCGAGCAAGTCTGGAATCTCCAGGCATGTCACGCGGCTTCTTTGTGCGTTTTGAAGTGGGAAGGATTTGTTGGTCCTCGAGCATGCCCGTAGAAACACTCGCATTTCTGAGCTTGCTCTGTCTGTCTCGTTTCTTTAGATCCCCAACGCCAAGAATCATAACCATGAGCTTGTTGTTGGCACCGAACGAGATAGCTAGGTCCCTTATTTTTTGAGCTGCGACCATTAGGTCTCTCCTCTCAGCCCGTGTCACGTCAACAACCAGGTCTGGCGTTACGTAGTCCCATAGTTCCCTTGACGCTAAAATTATCATCTCATCCTGCTCAGTTAGATTGACATGCATGGTATGAGGAGCCGCGATGACGGAGGGCATCTGATGAAAATGTCCAAAGGTTCGCGACACAGAAAGAACATCGTTAAGCTTTCCCTGGCGAGAGACATAACCTCCACCAGCCCGAATCCTTGCTCTTTCATGAGGTTCGGCGGGGTCGTGTATTCGGGTCAAGTGTCTTAGCGAACCGTCAGATTTAACTAGAATTGCCTGTGCATCTCCTACATTGGCGACGAATAGATCCATGTTATGCAGATACAGCACAGTGGCAACTGCGCCGCAGTCAGCATCATCTTTGGTAAGCTTCGCGGCCTTTGTGTCAGGTTCATCAGTATATCGCCGGATATCTTGGTCATCTGCAGATCTGAAACAAGCCGCTGCCATATTCTTGTTCAACGCTAAGAACGCACGTCGCAATGCATCCAACGGCGTCTCCTGTAACTCTCGCCGCAATCGACGCAGCTCAGTGGAAAAGGTGCGAAGGAAATTTTCGTGCAAAAACTTGGCGACCTTAGAACCTCCAGTGGATTGACTTGTTCCATCAAACATCCCCACAACCGTTTCCACGTTGTCTGGCTTTAACCGTGGCACAATCATATCAATTATTGATAGATGGTCACTTTTCCCGAGAAAGTCAGCCATACCATAAGCAAGAAAGCCGGCCAGTGATGCAGATGTTCTCACGCGGCGGTCTTCATTTTCCTCGGGTATAGTGGAAGTTGTAAGCGTAACGTCCATCAACCCCAGCACGCGCAGATAAGTAAGGGAATTGAAGTCGGTCAAGTCTGTTCCATTAGTGTTCGGCGGCCCCAGTAGCGAAGAAACGTGCGGTTTGATCTCAAGGCGCTTGTTCCCAGAAAAGTTGAGATATTTCAGGTTTCGGTTCCAGTTCCAATTCCAGTCATACGGCCAATTCGATACATTGTACTTTAACGAGTTGCTCCCGACATCCAGAATGGAAAGCTTGCTGACCTTGCACAGTTCTGCTGGTAGAACTTGGAACCGATTTGCGTTGATATTAAGAATCTTGAGCTGGCTACCTTCTTCAAGGTCGTCCGAAGGAAGCGACGTTAGCTCATTGCCGGAAAGGTAAAGCTCAGTCAAGTTGGACCAGCGTTTCAGCAGTCCCTGGGGTAGCTCGGTCAGCTCGTTGTACGAAAGGTTTACAACGCGCAGCTCTGTAAGTAACGATAATTCGCGGAAAACGTCATCTTCCAGTCGATTATCGGCCAGGTATAAATTCCTCAGTGATCCGCCAAAGGTTTGATTGGAGAGATTTGAAAAACTCGAGTCCTTTCTGGAAGCCGGACTCCCTTCATTCAACGACCTCGACGCTGTGGAAACTTTTCTGCCGCCTTGGCTTAGGGATGACGCGACCGAGGGCTTTCGGTATCCTCCGCTGCCGTTTGGTGAGCCTCCAGTGCTAAGAACGGTACCTGAGGTCTGGCTTGGGCGACGACCTTCTTGGTCGTCAGCTGCTAGGTCTTCGTAGTTTGTCGGTGTAGAAGTTCCTGGAGTGCCAGGCACCGGTTCGCCAGGGAGTTGAGGCATCGGAGTACCATGCTTTGGAAAGCTGTCTAATACATTGGATGACACATTGAGTGTCTCTAGTTTGTTGCAATTCCAAAGCTCTGGGGGCAATCGGCTCAGATTACACTCCCTAAGGTTGAGGTATCTGAGATCAGTTAGACACCCAAATGTGGCAGGAAGCGCGTCAAGTGGGTTCTTGATCATGCTGAAGTGCTCAAGTTTACGGAGTTTGCCGATGTGGGACGACATGGACACGAAGTGATTTTTGTCAAGTATGAGTTTGGTCAAATTGGGTACGTTCTCGAACAACGTATCCCGAAGCTGGACCAACTTTGCGGAAGCTACATTGAGCAGTGTGAGGGTAGGCGTCGGAGCATCAATGTCAAATTGAGTAATAGGGCAATGGTCAAGGAGCAATGCTCGTAGCTTCGGGAATGAGCCTTTGAATTTTGAAATCGCGTTGTGACCAACGTGCAACTGCTCCAAGCGTGGCACATACGATAGGTTGTCAATATTGGTTATTTCATTGAACCTTGCATCGATCTCCTTCACATTCACGAGATCTTTAAATGATTCGTCCAAGGAGCCCCGCAATACGTTGTTTGTCATCCAAAGGCGCTCAAGGGTCGACAACTTGCCAATGCAAGGCAGCTCGGCAATATTGTTGAAGCTGATATCGAGGTCCACTAAGCTCTTGAGATCTCCAAGAAACTCAGGGAAGACTCGGAAATTATTGGAGGATAGATTCAAACTCCTCAGATAGGCAAATTTTCCGAAGTAGCTTGGAAGGCTCGTAAGCTTGTTGTTCGATAATTTTATGCTGACAAGACCTTGTAGTTTATCAAGGCCGGCATGATCGAGCTCTTCTAGATAGTTGTTCGAGACGTCAAGGTAAGTCAGCCGACTCGCGAGGCCGAAACTGGCA